TCAGGGTTGTTTCAAGGAGAACATGTCATCCTTACAGTGAAAGAAGACTGCAGCCTGTCCCTCCAGGTGGAGAAGCACTCGAGGTAACGGGCACACAAGACAAGATGGAAAGTAAGACAGATAGATGAGATTCAGAAACAACGCTCCCGCCCTCCCTCCCTCCCTCCCTCACCTACCTCGCTCCCTCCCTCCCTCGCTCCCTCCCCTCCCTCGCTCCCTCGCTCCCTCGCTCTCTCCTCCCTCGCTCCCTCGCTCCCTCCCTCGCTCCCCTCGCTCCCTCGCTCCCTCGCTCTCTCCTCCCTCGCTCCCTCGCTCCCTCGCTCCCTCGCTCCCTCGCTCCCTCGCTCCCTCGCTCCCTCGCTCCTCTCTCTTCCTCCTCTGTCGTTTCTTTTCTCACCGTCGTGTCGGGTTGGTCTACCCAGAGGGACCGCGTGATAGCAGAAGCCCAGCTGTTGAGGTGAGAAAAATCCCCCCGGTCAGCAGCCGGACCCAAGAGGTCGCAAGGCTTGACCTGTCGCCGGTGACAACTTGGAACATCTTTGGAAAGGTTTCAGTTTAAGTGCTGACGATGGGAAGAACTCACGGAGAAAATTGACTTGGAGAAATTTCCAAAGAAGAGATCTGAACGGTCGCTGCAGGATACAAATCAGTGTGGGCAAGGTAGGAAGACTAGGGGAAAAGGAGGAGGAAAGGAGGAGAAAAGGAGGAATAGAGAAGAAGTCGGGTAAACGACATCGCTAGCCTTGAGTGAATGTGACAAGAGAAAAGGAGAAAGGAGAGGAGCGGTGGAAAAGGAGCCAGAGGTGAAGAGAAGAAAAGAAGGTCAAGAACGGACATGCGCGGGATCGGTGCGAGGAGAGATCAGCAGGAGAGCAGGGAAGGAGGAGGGGGACAAAGAGGCGAGGAGGGAGAGGACGAGGAGACCGGAAGAGATGAGTTGCGAGCGTAGCATAGATGCAGGAGACGAGGAGGAGGATAAGAAATGCATTGCTGACAGGGATGACAGCAGCTCCTAGTGCCTGCACTCTTATCAGGTCCCCTCCTCTCCTTCCCCTTCTCCGTCCGGTCCTAATCCAATTCCGCTCCCTGCATGATCCATCCAGCCCTGCAGCCTCCTCTCCTCTTCCTCCTATCTCCATCTTCGCTTCCCCCGCCACTCCCCGTCTCCTCCTCCTCCTCCTACAGAAATGATTCTGTTCGCCGATCGGAATGTCCTGCAGCAGGTCAGCCCCGCAGGTCCCACCGGCACCATCAGACCTGATGAGGCGGATTACCTGCCACGTCACTCAGAGGAGGGACAAGAACGGGAACAACGTCAGCTGACTCACCCGAAAGATCTTGACAAGTCGGAACATCTTGACTTGCGGCACACCAATGCTCAGCCCGAGAGCAAGGACGGACATCTGCAGCAAGATCAGGGGATTCCTGTATGCTCAACCCCATCAGCTCCTCTCAGCCACTTCCCTCCTCCTATCTCACTCTACACTGTCCTCCACTCCCTCCTCCTTCATTCCCTCCCCTTGTACTCCTGCTCCTCCTTTGTTTCTCCCTCTGCCAGGTGCTTACCAACACAACTCTGAAGTCATAGCGGCGAAGGGAGGAGGAGAAGGGGGTTCGACCAAGATTGGAGAGAGAGGGGGGGACAGAGAGGAGGGAGGAGAGGGACGGGAGTCAGTATCTGGTCAAGGCGGCAAGGAGCAGGTACATGGAATCAAAGATGTTCCATCCGTCCTTGACCCAATCGAAGAAAGTGTTGTCGGTGTGACAAAACAGGTTGATAAGAAACTCCTTCAAGGCAGTCGTCAGCAGAACGCCTCCACGACATCGCAGCAAGCACCGTGGCGAACGCAATCTGTCGTGCCATCAAACAGGTCAGAGGCAGTCAGCACGACTGAGGTGTCACCGTGTAGAACATCTCGAGCTTCCTGAAGACCTGGTCTTGGAATGATCCTGAGTCGGGGAGAATCTGAGCCTCCGTGATGTCCTGGCGACCGGAACGTCACGGGCAGAGCCGAACGAGGGGGAGAAATGAAGAGTTGTGGGGTGGTAGCTGTGGAATCAAGCTTGAACAAGGACGTTGGGGATGTAGGTGGAGGAGTACGAGGAGCAAGGAGAACGCACAGAACGGGAAAAGAAGATGAGGGGGAGAGAGTAAGGGAATGCGAGTAAGGAAACAAACCGAGGCAAAACTTGTGAAGATGAGGATGGCAACAATGATCTGGCAGCGCGTCATGTTACAGCTCTTGTTGAGCACAGGGTTGCACCTGCCCCTTGAAGGAGTCGTAGAAACATCTCACTCGCGTTCTGGCATACCAGAGCGCCTTTTGCCCGGCCGTCATGTTGCTCAAAATTTTCTCTCTCTCCTCCCTCGCTTGTGCGGCTTTGTACGCCGCCTTCACTGCCGTCCTCCACTGGTTGCATTCTTCCGGAGTTTTGCACCTGAATATGTACGTTCTCCCACAGTTGTTCCCTACAGTACCAGCGATCAGCATTAAAAAGTGTCAAGAGCGTCTCAACCGTGCGGGTCCGTTCGGATCACCAAGGTCCGTTCGTCGTCCGGATGCATCGCCTCGTGGGCACCTCCGACTTGGCCCTGGAGCCCTCTATCACATGCAGCGACGGACATGACATGCACTCACTTGTATGAAGACGTTCTTGACCTCGTGCAAGAGGATCTCGTCTTCTACCTCGTCTACCCCGACGTCCGAGAACGACAGCGAGCTGGGAAAATGCACGTTCAGCAGGCGTCACAGAATCTCTTCATGCTCACGTCGAGGTCATGACGATGGTGGTTGGCTCCCAGACGATGATGGAGCTGCTTGCAGTATCAACTCACGCATCTACCTGAAAGGTTTTCGAGACCTCAAGATTTTCTTGTCAAAGTCTCCCTTGAGCAGGATGTTCGTTCTTGGCATTCTCCTATGCAATCAATCAAAAAGATGGAAACAACAATGGTGAGGCATTGACAATCCTCCTCCTCCTCCTCCTCCTCCTCCTCCTCCTCCTCCTCCTCCTCCTCCTCCTCCTCCTCCTCCTCCTCCTCATCATCATCATCATCTCCATGATCATAATCATCATCATCTCCATGATCATAATCATCTCGACGACAACAACAACAACAACATCATCATCATCATCAACATCATCATCATCATCATCAACAACAACAACATCATCATCATCATCAACATCATCATCATCATCATCATCATCATCATCATCATCACCATCACCATCACCATCACCATCACCATCACCATCACCATCACCATCATCATCATCATCATCATCATCATCATCATCATCATCATCATCATCATCATCATCATCATCACCATCACCATCATCATCATCATCATCATCATCATCATCATCATCATCATCATCATCATCATCATTTCATGAAGCAACGGTCGTTCTCTTGGAATGAAAATGCTTTCTTCTCAAACCACACAAAGGGGCATTACTTGTGGGTCCTTTTTGACATAGAGCCCGAGAAGTCTTCGCTGACCAGCGATGCCTGTGTTGGCGATCGGTGACTAACATCTGCGAACGCGAATGTTTCGACCTGAGAATTCGAACGGGGCATTTTTGATCGCTTCATTGAACCAGCTAAGGTGCAGAAAACAAGTCAGCTCCTTTCTTAGAGTGCAGGCTGCTCACAGAAGTTTTCTGAGGCCATATAAGCGGATATCATGCTTGTAGTGTGTTCCTTGTCAGAACAACAACGCTGGTTGGAAGGGCCTAAAAACAACACAAACAGTTGATCATCGCAATTTTCAGGATAGTAGAAGATCAAAGTCCTACAACCCGACTCCTTCCGTCTGCAGGTTCACTTGCCCTAACCTCCCTTCACTTCTCTGCTTGGCTCTCCTTCTCTGTTTCTCTCCATCTTTCGCTTCTCATCTGCTCCGTGATCGCTCCCTCGCTCCCTCGCTCTTTCGCTCTTCCGTCGGAGCCCTCTGACCTCAATTCTTGACCTCCGGAACTCTTGCTCACCAACAACCCTCTACCCCCTGTTTTGTACCCTCCTCCATCCCACACCCCCACAATGGTGCTCAATCAGGTCTAAATCGTATGTTGTATTGGGAAAAGTACCGGTATTTGAATTACCCCCACCCACTCTATTTCGTGCTGTGCAGCCTCATTATATCCATTGCCTCGCTGAGTAAAAAAAAGGTCAAAAGACCCCTACCCCGGATATGACATATCAGCATCTACACCCCTACCCACATTAAGACAGTGTAAATGACCGGTGCTACCTCGCCTCCGACACTAACTTTACAATCCAGTCCAGCGTGACTTTTACCTCAAAGGATGCGAATTGGCTACTTTTGACAGAAACTGGTACAGTTTAAAATCATTTTAAGTACAGAAATTACCTAAAATAGATGTAGAGGGTTGGCGACGATATAAACCTCTGAGATGAGGCTAGGGAGATGAGGGGGATGAGCGGCTAGGGAGATGAGGGGGATGAGCGGCTAGGGAGATGAGGGGGATGAGGCTAGGGAGATGAGGGGGATGAGGCTAGGGAGATGAGGGGATGACTAGGGAGATGAGGGGATGAGGCTAGGGAGATGAGGGAGATGAGGCTAGGGAGATATGAGGGGGACTCGGGATGAGGGAGATGAAGGAGAGGATGAGGGGGATGATGGAAAGGCATGGTGGGTGGACTTGTTTTGGGGTAGGGGTACACAAATGGTATCATTATATAGAGCAGAAATAGGAAAAATAAGGGGTAGTGAGTGGATTTCAGGGGGTAGAGTAGGAAAGGGAATTTAGGGGTGGGGTGGGTGGTGTCTTTCCATGCAGGGGATTGCAACCCTACTGGGAGGATGGGTGATGAGACGAGAGGAGGGAAGAGGATAGAGGAGAGGAGAGGAGAGGGAGAGAGGAAGGAACAGGAGGGGAGCGCCCGGGAGCGGAGTGTTCATGGGGAATAAATGCGGAGGAGGGGGGAGCTGTGGACAGATCGAATCGTCAGAGTGTGAATCTGAAGCTAAGCGTCTAATCATGGCAAGGGGATGAAATGCGCACACGTTGCTCGCAGAGTTCTTTTGCTTTCAAACAGAGATAATGAGTGGTTGCATTGATTTCAACCATCAGTATCGATAACGGGCAGAGCAGAAGCTCTTTGACATTGGTTTCCCATTGGCGAGTTTTTCAGACACTTAGTTACTTCGCTCGCCCTACCATTGCATCAACGAGGCAAAGACATGGAAAACTACGACACGATTAAAAAGTTAGCCAAGGTCTCTTATGAATCACATCGGCTCACTTGATCTAAGGAGTTGCGCGTAGGGGGGGCAGGGCTCGACCATTCTTGTAAAGGCGAAGAAGGGAGGTGATGCAATGGTGTTGAAGCAGTGCAAATGCGCTACGATAAAAGAGGCAAACCTCGCGTTGAAGGAGGTCTGTGCCGTCTTGTTGTCTCTGACATTCTGATAGAGTTCTCACCTATCCACACCAGGCGAAGGTGCTCCAAAGTTTGAACCACGCGGGCATCGTGGCCTACCACGATGTGTTTCTTCATCAAGACGACAAAGCATTGGTGATTTGCACCCTTATGGTGAGTCGTATAGTCCCTGCGTAGCTTGCTTGTCATGAAGACTACAGGAGTACTGCGAGAGAGGGGATCTTGCCTGCTACCTGAATGACGTTAAGAGCAAAAATCATGCTCTGGAAGAGAAGCTCGTGCTACGTTGGACATACGAGATGGCAACAGCACTTGACTACATACACAACAAAAAGGTATTTTGAAACATGCTCTTTCTCGGTGATCGGTAGGAAACTCACCATGCTTGAATGGTCAGGTTGTTCACAGGGACATTAAGCCATTGAACGTGTTCATGACCAAAGGAGACAACCTCAAGGTGTTGAGCACAGCCTGTCCATCTGCCTTCTTGCATGCTCGATTGACATGAGTCAAGATTGGAGACTTTGGGCTTGCATCAAACACGGGTCATGATAGAGCGCAATCGCAGGTATGTTGTTGCTTTGATCTGATTGCTGTGAGAAGTTGCTGGTTCACCAAATGCCTTTCTAGGTTGGAACCCCATGCTACTTGGCCCCTGAAGTCTTACAAAGTGAAGAGTACGGAACTGCTGTGGATATATGGGGCATAGGGTGAGCGAATGCAGCAGCTGTTTTCTCCGTATTTCAAGGCGCTCCTCACTGTCTCGTTGATGCATCAGATGTATTGTGCTGGAGATGGTCACCTTGGAATTCCTTTGGCAGCGCAAGGGGCTGCTATCTGTACAGGTCAATTTCATTCCTCCTGATCACGGGCCTGATCAAGTTGAACAGGTCTTGTCGAGGCCTTTGGATGCGAACAGCTTCCCATCTGCCTACTCCTCTGAGCTTCGACAACTTATCGCCCGGTGCTTCTCTCGCTTTCGGAGGTGATAGATGCTGACTCAAAGCAAGGATGTTGGAAAAGGATCCAGACAGTAGGCCTCGATCGTCGCAGGTGAGCGATCGGACCTTCTCTTCTCTCTTCGAAAGAGCCTGAGCTCCCCGTGCCCAGGTTGCCCAGAACTGTCAACAGTTGTTGAAGGGAGTGGGATGGGGGAGTTCGAAGGGGCTCGTCGGAGGGTTCGATGCTCTTGCCGAAGGCTTTGGAGCATTTTGGGCCAATAACAAGAACCTTGAGGGGGAGGACAAGGGAGCGGAAGGAGGGTCGAGCCCTGCACACGTGGAGAGGAGGCGACAGCAGGAAGCTACCCCAGAGCAACAGAGAGTTGCTCCCAAGAACGATGGCCAGGTTGCTGACTTCCGCCGTCGGACCCCAGCACAGCGTCAGCTGAAGCCGGAAGCAAGAGACCAGGTGGCATATTTCACGCAGAAAGGGAAGGACAAGAATGGGACGGACGCAGATAGGGCGCGAAGGAGGGCCATGAGAGCAAGGCCAAGTCTGTCTGAGGTAGGATGCCTCCTTCTCCTTGTTCGTTGCTCCTCCTCCGCTGCTCCTTTCTGCATCCTTCCCTCCGTCAGCTTCCTCACCCTGTTTGTCATAGATTCAGCGAGAGCTCGAGCGGTGCGGGTATTCCAGATTCTTTTCTGTATTCAAGGAGCAGGTTGCTTCTTTCCGCGGACTAACCCCTCCGCCGATTTTTCTGAACTCTCCTTGGGTAGGAATTGTACGGGGACATTCTACAGGAAATCACTGAAGACGGTGAAGTTCATGTTGTGTGCGTGGTACTGGTGATATCTAACTTTATTCCTTACCGGCCAAGACCTTGTTGAGATCGGAGTCCCAGACAGGATTGAGCGACAGAATCTCCTCATCATCATTCAAAACCTGTTGGGGAACAAGAAGTCGCCACTCATTGTGGCCGAACCGCCAAAGCCTGAACTCACGGCAAAGCAGAGCCCTCATGAAACGGTCGATACATCGTTCGACGAGCCACCAGGCAAGTGTTGAGACGTTTGATGTTTCCAACATGTTGCTGAGATCCTTCGTTGAACTCGACTGACTCTGCCTTTCAGTTCCTCAGGTTCCGCTTTGTTCCTCACTCGCTTTAAATTTGCTCACGACGCAAGCAGTCGGATATCGAGTTGTGGATGATCGAGAACAACATCATTCAGGTGCGCGTGTTTGCGCTGGGCAATATTTGACAACTGAGTGAGTCGGCAGTATCGTCCCGTCTTCGAGGCAAATGGCATCCGATCGCTCAAGGTCTCGAGGTCTAAAGATGAAAGGATAACTTGACGCTCTTCCTGCAGCATCTCCAATCACTCAACGAAACAGAGATTGATGCTCTCTGCCTGAGCATCGAAGAGAACAACTCATCGGTGAGGGCAGCATCGCTATCTCTCCTCGACACCTCGTTCTCCATGGTGACCGACTTCCAGAACCCGAGCTTGCTCAACGCCATTCAAGCCATCAAGAAGAAGTTGAAGAATAGGACGAACCATGCTCGAGCCGAACCGAACGAGGTGGACCAGGACCTCGCTTATCGAGCGACTGACCTCGCTCGAAGGTGAGCAAGGCGACGATGGAGGCAGAAGAGAAAATGTTCCAACAGGCTCTCCGGGTAATCCACCAGTCCCGATCACGAGGACTGTCGATGAGTCATCTCCCACCTGATTCGTTGTGCTTGCAGGCTTCTCTCAGGGATCTTGGGAACGAGACTGCCAGCTCGCCCCCTGCCAACAACGGAAATGACGCCAAGTGAGGCCAAGCTTCCGCCTCTTGCTCCAGATGACGAATGTGCGCAGCGCTGCGGAACAACCCAGATCGAGAGTGAAGCAGGAGGAGGGCAAGGCAATGAAGCTGGCAGACTTCCTCCTGGTCAGCAACTTCCGCACTGGAGACTCGAAGCGCTTGTTCTGCGTGTTGGACAGGAACCGCCTGAAGCTGTTCGAGAGCGTGGCCTCGATGCAGCAGGGTGACCCTCCATCGCAAGAAGTGACCTCTCTGCTAAGCAAGGAGACAGCCGTGCTGACCCGGAGCAGGTAGTGATGGACGGACTCTGCGTGGACACCATGGCGGACTCTCAGGACTTCACGTGATGGAGCATCGAGGCGGCGAAGGATGCTGACGTGCGTGCCTTGCAGGATCTTCCTGAGGAGATCTATGAATGCCATCTCACAAGAGGATCTGCTGCTCACCGTGACAGAAGACGCCAACCATCCTTTCGTCCAATGGCTGCAGGTGGTAATGTTGGTTCATTGTTGCATTGATCAACATCATCATCATCATATGATCATCACATCACCACCACCTCCTCCCTCATTGTCCTCATCACTTCTTACGTTCAAATTTCAGCGCCTACAAGCATCGGCGTACCTCAGCGCCATGCTGGCCCCACCAGGCCCCAACAGTGCTGTGAAAGGGATTGTCCTGCGCTCTCTTGAGATCGTCAATGCTTCCTCCCTCTTCCAGGTAGGACAGGGTAAGGAGGACGAACGATGAGCAGGAGCAGGGGCAGGAGCAGGAGAGGGCGGGGGCGGGGGTCGGATAATGACTGTGGAGCAGGGGATGTCTCTGTGCGTGAATGCCGTGAGGGCAACAGGGGAGGTGAGAGTCCGATGGGGAAGAGGAGGAGCGGATCCCTCACTCGCTGCCCTGCAGTTCCTCTACCAGATCTCTGACATCGCCCTCGATCAACCGTCTCAACGGTCACTCATGCACTTCGACCTCTGGAAGGTGCTCGCAATGCTCTGCAAGGCTCGTCATCCCATGACGAAGACGGCAGGAGGTCCAGTCTCCTTCTTCCGAAGACGCCTTCGTGTACTTCGAGGTACCTCCTCCTTGTCCCTTCCCTCTTCCCTTGCCCTCGTCCTGTGCTCTCGTCCTGTTCATCCACTCACATTTCTCTCCCTTCAGGTCCGATACATGAAAGGCAAGAAGCAGCAACCCACCAAGTACTGGACCTGGTGAGCACACAGGAGGCAATGTAGCTGTTCCTTGACTTCATCGCAGCATCGCATGCAACAGCATGCGGCAGGGCACTCGATCGCTGCAGGTGTTCAAGGCTCCTTGTGAGTACGACTCGAGCAAGCACAGCAAAGTTCTGGTAAGAAGGGAGGAGGAGGCGAGCTTCCCTGACAGCTGCTGCTGGAACAGCCGAAGCAGAAGAGCAAGCTGGACGTCACTCTAACGGCATGACAGGAAAACCTACCGCCGTATGTACCATAGCAACATACCTACACACACGAGAACATTTTGTCGATTTTTTTGCTTTATTGAAAGAATATGACTCGCTGCTCCTCTACAGCTGTTTAGTATCCGCGAGCAACCATGCGCTGCTGGTTGTTGCAGGGGGGCTCGTCGTTGGAATCGATGACGGTGTTGGGGGTGACGCCGTTAGCGTTGTGCGGCTCAGCCCAGGTGTTGATGGTGTTGACGTAGGAGTTGGCGTCGAGGAGGAGAGAGAACATCTGCACAAACCAGTTAGTGTGAACTATGGAAGTAATCGCAGTCGATGGTATGAGGCCCTGCTATCATGAGACCGCTGATGTATCCCTCTCCCTCTAAATTACGGTGCATCTCTCCGGATCAGTATCCTCCTTTCCTCCTATTTTCTGTCCGGGTCTTTCATTTCCTTCACTCCTTTCATCAGTTTGTATGATCACGCACCGTACCACACCAAATCCACCATCTCCTCTCCACCTCCAATTTCATCCTCATATCATCCTCTGTGCTCCTTCTCCTCCTAGACACCCTCACTACTACTCCTCCTCCCCCCCCTCCTTCTTTCCTCACAGTTTCCTCCTCTTCATTCCTGTGCATTTACCTTATCACTTGTTGGAACGGTCTCCACCACCCCTGCTAAAAGCAGTGATCTCCCCAAAATAGAACGTCTACCCCCACCCACCCCGGTGCTTGTCAATTAGACCCGTCATCAACCGATCACAGGACCCCCTGCACATCGGCAATACTGATGATATAAAGTAATGTGGGGTGGGTAGTCGTCCTCATGGGGTATCACTGTGTTTGCAGGGCTGGAAGGGGTGGGTAGAGGGTCTCAGGTACTGCAGTACGTTAGTGGACAGGTCCCGAAAGGGTGGTGGTGACCTGGGGGTGGTCCTAAGTTTATTACTATTACTCAACTGATTTTTAGCTTAACTTTGAGTGAACTTGACTGCCAAGTCACTGAACTGCCGCCGCCGGGCCGGCCCGGAAGTGATCAGGTCAAAAAGAAGACCGTTACAGCTGTCCTCTGACCGTAACCGTACAATTTTTGCCTCGCAAAGGAGTAAAAAAAAGAAACAAAATCCACCCAAGAGGTAATATCACCCCTATTTATGCGGTCTATACCACCGGTGTCGACAGCGACCTGTGGTCGGAGTCACGATGCCGATAGTCGGAATGGACATCAGGCAAGGTGGGGTACTTGATCACCCCCCATTTTTACATGTAATACACCGGTACATGCAGAAAATCGGTTAGAAAGGAGGGGTGGAGGTAGTCCGGATAAAGCCGATACTCGGAAGCCCCGGGTCTAGTCAAAGGCGCGAAGAAGAGACGGGGTTGGGCGTCCTCATTCGGGAAGGTAGGGTACTACCCTCACTACCTCCCAGATAACTGTGGATTCCGTACTCTTAATGATGGTGGGTCATTACCCCTACCCACAACAGACTGTACCCTACCCCTAGAATATCGGCAAGAAAACTTCCGGTGATTTGACGGAATGCATATATAGGGAGTTTGGGAAATGGCAGAAAGGATCAATTAGCGGATAAGGTTTCAGAAGGAATATTGCAGACAGATGTGCTGCCTCCAATGCAGCAACTTTCTTTGTTCGGTGATGAAAGCAGTGTTAGCACGCCTTAGTATTCAGCAAAACCTTGTCTTATGATTTCTTCAAAATATAGTTGAGGCCATACACAAGATGGTGGTCCATTGTTGTAGAACAAGGTGGTGTTTAAGTCGAGCACCAGATATAGCTGAAGCTAATCTTTTCTTCGCAGTTGTATTTCTCTTGGCAAAATCCTTTACTTTCCTCTCACTGGCAGCATTGCTACGGGTTTGGTGCAAGATTGACTGATCTCGCAGCAAGCATGGGCAACAGCCACGCTTGCATGTTCTGTGACCAAGTTACCAAGACACAAAACCCTGAATGTCACTACGAGGTGAGTACAGGTCATAGAAATAATTGCGTGACCAGGGACGTGTTCAAGAGCAAAGAATATCTTACAGTGGACAAGGAGAACAAAGAAAATAATTGCACTGATGCAAACAATGCGACCGAGATTGCGGAGATGAAACAAAGGGCGAAGCTCGCGAGAGAGGCCGCCGTAGCACTGTTGGGAAAGCTTCCGAACAGAAAGAATGACTTCTCGGACGTGCAGGAGAGGCACGCAAAGAAAGTGCAGGGGATGTACTTGCACAACAAACTGATGGAAGCGCTAGAGGAAGCGCGAAAGGAGGCTGAGACAAAGATTATTGAGAACATGCAAAGTGAGTTCAATGTACAGCAGATCAAGGCAGAAATGCCAATTTAGACTACTGAGTTGCCCTCATAAGAGATTTGATATATATAAACTAATTTTTTTCCCCAGCGAGGAAGGTGAGGAGGAAGAACATGTATCTTTGTTTTCTGTCGCACCGCTCTCAGCCGTTTCCTCTTCGCACCCTCGCATGGTCTTCAGCTCGAGCTATCCTCTCGTGGGGTACCCTGTCTTCATAGAGCAGCAGTCTGTGTCGGAGCTCCTTCGACTCACGTGTCATAGTCGTTACCTTTGATCTCAGGTTGTGGTTTTCTGACATCAGCAAACGCAGTGAATTGCTCATCTCTTGCGCCTCTGCCTGCAGCTGTCTGACTCTGCTCTGTTGAATCTTCACAAGCTCCCCTGGCTTCATGTTCACTTGATTGAACCTCTCCTGAAGCTCCTTGCACTTTTGGGACAAAGAGATCCTCTCTTCACGCAGCTCTCTGATCACATTCTTGTAGTCTTCTGTCTTCTGTCTTGCAGCTATCAGCTTCTCTGCCATGGATCGTGAGAGTTGCGGCGCAACCTTTAATCTGTCCAATCTATTCTTGGCCTCCATGAAATCTCCACTGTGCTTCAAGTTCTCGGCATTCATTTGCTCCAATTTTGCTTGATCTTCGATCAGCTCTGCTACAAGGTCTGAAAGATTGCTGATAGATTCCACATAGACGTCGCTGAATCGCTTCTTGTCTAGGGCAAATTCGTCCAGCGTCTTCATCATGCTTTCTGCACGTTGTGCAATGGATGGGAACGAGATCGAGAGCTTCTCGTATCGCTCCTGCAGATCTTGAGATAACTGCAAGCGACCAATCAGCTTGACGTGAGTCTGGTCAATTGAGCCGCAAGACAGTTCGCAGCAAGAGATTGCCTCTTGCAGGGAGCTGGACGACATCTCTAGGGCATGTGATAGGTTGGATGTTTCTTGGAGCAACCTTGCAATCGTTCTGCGAGCAAACTTGATTCTTCGCTTGAGCCTTCTGTCGGAGTGTTGGTTGCAATCGAACTCAAAGAAGTCACGGAGTTCTGCATCATCCGTGAATGAGTTGACATCGATATTCTCCTCCTCCTCCTCCTCCTCCTCCTCCTCCTCCTCTTCGTCGCTCCCATCAAACAGCAATCTTGACACGCTGCCTTTCTCTGAGGACAGCTCAGCATTGGATTGCTTCTCCTTCAAGACTGCGCTGGTCATTTTCCACTCCTCTGACAGTCTCGTGTGCGAGTCTCCCTTATCTTCGGTATGACCCTTGGGAAGGAGGAACCCATCGAACCCATGAGCGGGAGGGGGTCTAGGAGTGTGCTTCTCTTCCATTCTCGGGGACAGGAGCGGGGGCGAGAAAGGGTCCATGGCACGAACAAGGGAAAAGCCTGAGGGAGGATGGATTGTTTCCGCGTCCTCGTCATACCTGATCCCAGGGGTCGTGTTGCGTTGGTATTGTTCAATATCCTCCTCCTCATTGACTTCATCATCATGGTCATCTCCTTGACATGATTTCACATCGTTTTCCTCCTCTTCCTCTCGAATCATCATCCTCAGACGGCTTATAGCCGTAGAAAGATCCATCTTCACTATGTCTGTGGATCTCTTAGCTACCCACTGTCATTCACTCCCTTCCTCTGTCTCTGTCCCCTCCTGCCGCCGCAATCCTTGAGTCAAGACCCCTGCGCCCCGCCTGCATTGCGCCGGGCGGCTAGTCAACTCTCTTCAAGTTTTAGTCAACTAGTTTCCGAACTCTCGGAAGTTCAAACTGGCTCAGTCGCCGTACACTCGGCCGGTATTGCCCGGGCCCCGGAGCCTGCGTACAAAATGTTTACTTAATCAGGATTTTGTAATTATTTGCTACAATTATCAGAATATTGTTGCACCAACGGTAACAATTGATTATATTTATCACCCCCACCTACAAATTACGTGGAGATACATGGGGTACTGTCATATCAGATGTCAGGGGTGGGGGTGATAAATGTACCCCTTAATATATCTCAAAAAGGATGGTAAATAGGGGGTAGGGTATATGACGGAGCCATCACAGGTTGGAGGAAAAGGTTGCAGAATTGGAGCATGAAAAAGGCGGGGTAGGGGTAGATCATTGGTCGTTTGGAGTGGGTGGGGGTATAATTCTATCTCCGGATGATATGATAAATAAGGGGGTATTTGTACTATATTGTTGGGGTCATGCTAACCATGGGGTAGGTGGATGTGTGGGTAGGTGTTCAGTGAAAAGGTGGGGTAGGACGGTCATGGCCTCAATGGTTTTTTTGGGGAAGTTTGCGACTCAGGATGGCACGAATGCTCAGGGGGAGGGGGGGGAGGGGAGGACAGGAGGGAAGGAACAGAGGACAGGACAGGACAGGACATGTCGAAAGAGAGCAAGGCAGGGCCAAACAGAAGGGGATGTTGGACAAACAAGCAGCAGTAACCCGAAGTCAGAAAGGTTTACATCATACGAGTGTGGTGCGTTTCCTGCCTCATTCGGGAGGTTACAGTGTGCAGGGTACAGGCTACACAGATGCAGAACAAGACGACTGATCCGAGCCTTGTGCGGACTTGATAGGATATTGACTTGAAACGGTTCTCAGGCTGGAAAAGCAGTGGGAAGAAGTTTTGTGGGACCGAACGGAGTCATCGTAGCACCGTGCAGAGGTTCATGCTTGAATACTCGTTTGATCTCTCCCTCCTCACTCTGCTCTCTCCTCTCCTATCTCAGGGGATGTGGAAGTCTCAGATTGCCCTTCGACACGTCCTCGGCGACCCATGGCCGAGCATGTCCTTGGAGGCTCGTGGGCTCAATGATGTAGGAGCTACTCCCCCCTCCCTCCCGCCTCCTCCTCCTCATTTGGCTGAGCATGCTGAGACAGGTGGACGACAGGGTCACGCTCGTCGCTGCCATGAACGAGGTGCGCCAGCCACTGCGTCTCCTCGCATGGCGGGAGCCAGGCCTTATCTTTCTGCTGTACAGATTTCACGGCTGGGGAGGGACAACCTCACGAGGACGAACGAGGCGCACAGAGAAGTGACGGAGCAGGGTGACATGAAGAGGTTCTTGGACGCTGTGGCGTTTGACGGATGGCTGCAGTCCTGATATCGGCAGTGACATCAGCAGAAGCCTTGAGCCGTATCATCCAGCGATCGCAGATGAATTCCAGTGAGAGATACAGCCATGCTTTAAGGTTGGTCTCTTTGCCGTTGCTGAACTTGTGCTCTCTTGCTTGCTCCCACCGTCTCGAGATCGCCTGACGGGTCCTCAAAGGGAGGGAGGGGAGCACCCGTTGAGCTCTCGGTCGCATCGCCATCAGGACGTCAGTCTTCTCCTCGTTACTCTTCTCTCCTCTCTCACCCGATAGCACCAGGGCGCCTCGTCTGCCTCCGGGAAGGGATCAGAGAGCGAGGTTCCCCCTCCTGACGATGCCCTCTGCCCCCGCTAACGTCTCCGGCAGCTGGAGGAGCACTTCATTATGAACCTCACCGCCCAGGAGCGGTTGTTGATCGAGAGGCAAGCTTGCAGCGAGTCGTCAGTCATGCGCAGTGACGGTGAGGAGCAGGTACAGGGCAAAGAAGATGGCTGAGAGCAACGGAGTTTCGAGCTCGTCGACTCGCCGGCCAGTCCTCTCCAGACGTTCCAAGGCAAGAATGAGCTCACCTGGCTCATGGTCCAGCCTGTCCTGACACCTTTCGCGAGCAGAGCTTGCCCAAGGAGAGACCGATAGCGTCGAAACTCGAGCGTGTGGAAGAGGAAGTCACTGAGTGGGTCAGCGAGCCGGAGGCTGGAGATTACCCGGATCTGAGCAGGAAGAACGAAAGGTGAGGTTTCGCTTCCTCTGTTCCGCTATGAATGTCTCCCTTTACCTCCTCCCTAGATCGCAAAGTCTGCCCCATCGCATCCCTGTCCAGGTCTGAGATCTGCTGCCTCTCACCGAGCCTGATACTGCTTCAGATCATGCTGGAAGGAGGGAGCAAGATCGAGCAGTTCCAACCCTCCAAACCTTCTTCCACAAAGGTGTGGAGGGCGGTTGTCCCAGGAGGGGGGAATGACGGAGACTGCAGGCGAAGATCGTCGAGCTCCTTCACTCCCTCCCCGGATCCCCTCCGAGCAACAAGAACGTGAAGATGTGGGAGGCTCAGTCTCGCTCCCCGGGCTCCGGTACGTGCCGTTGAGGGGAAGAAAGAGGAGAGCGAGGAGGGAGAGAGGGAGGAGGGAGCAGAAGAGGGAGGGAAAGGAGACAAGGAGGAGAAGAGAGCGGAAGGAGGGAGAGGGAGCAGAGGGTTGAGGGGGGCAAGGCTCGTTCTGACGGGGAAGGAGCAGCTGCAGCATTGAAGGCCCAGTGGTCGAACACCAAGGTTCCACCTCCTTGTCACGGCGCCGAAGCTGATGTGCCGGCAGGTTCTGTCAGGGCTTGGACGAGAAGCAGATCAGACGCTGACAGAGTACAACTCATCTGCACAACGTGGTAACGAATCTCTCTCTCTCTCTCTCTCTCCCTTCCCCCCTCCTTCCTCCCTCCTCTCCCTACCTCCCTCCTGCCTTCATCCTCCTTACTCCTTCCCTCCCCGTCCCTCGTCTCTCCTCTCAACGCAGCATCTGACTTGTGAACTTTTCCTGTCTGATCCTGTTCCTCTCAAGGTGTTGTGATGCCGCATGCGTCGCTCTTCGGCACCCTGCGTCATCTGCGCAACCCGGACGAGGAGGTGAGAAAGGGAAGGGGAGGGAGAGGAGGAGAGGAGGAGGAAACGCGGGGGACAGAAACGAAGGAAATAGGAATAGAGAACGATTGGTTTGTAAGAGAACAGGACGGGAGGAAAAGTAGGAGAGATGTAAGGGAACGAAGTAGAGAGGAGGGGAAAGGAGGGAAGAGGAAAGGAAGGGGGAGGAGGAGAGGAGACTCTGACACGGGTGCATTCAGCGACACGTGGAGCACACGAGGGAAGTTGTTTCCCCGCAGAGAGAACTTTATGTGCCTGCATAATGTTTTCACACTTTATACATGATAAACACAGACTTAGTACTTGTGCTCCTCCTCCTCCTCCTCCTCCTCCTCCTCCTCCTCCTCCTCCTCCTCCTCCTTCTCGTGTTCTTTCCCCTCTGTCATGCTCCTTCTATGTTCCCAAGTCCATCAGTGACTTGATTTCTCCTTCACGTGCTCTGCTCGTTGTTTTCTGCCTTTGCTGTGACCGATGGTTTCACTTCATCCTTCCCGCCTCTCTCGTCATCCTTCCTCTCCTGGAGCTTCCTCCTCACCTGCCAGATCGTCAGACTCCATCCCTCCTCCTCTTGCTCCTCCTCCACCACCTCCTCCTCCTCCCTACCTCCCACCTTCTCTGCCTCCTTCCTCTCTCTTTATCCTCTTCTTCTCCTTCCTCTTCTACTCTCTCCCTCCTCCCTCCCTCCTCCCCTACATCGCGGATCGTCTTCTCCTTGTTCTGCCTCTCGACTTTCTCTGCTTGGTTCACGTTCCACGTGTCCACCCTGACAAGCCCCGGCATGTAGTCAGCAGGAAGAAACAGGAGCAGGTGAGGTGAAGGAGGAGGTGAAGGTAGACACCGGAGGAGAGGGACGAGCAGAGGAAGGAGGACGAGCAGAAGAACAAACGAGGAGGACGAGGACAGGACAGGACAAACGTGACGAAAGCGGAAGGCGCGGGGGGCTGGCCTGTGGAG